TAGTATATCTCCATAATCTTACTCTGTATCAACAACTGTCTGATTTGTTCTATATTTACATTATGAATTTGGCCAAATGCATTTTAAGGATTATTTCCAATTCATTGTACATTTCTGTTAAAGGATTTTTTTTTCCTGAAAAAAATGCATCCTTATTATTTATGGAATCATTTTTGTTTCTATATTTTTGAGCCTCGAAGACTTTTTTTTTTGCAATCTTTTATTTTTTAATTACAAAATAATTAGTTTTACTCTCAAACATAGAATGTTTGATTGAATAATAAAGGCACAAAAATTATTCCATAATTATTCATCCTTTTATTCAGCTAGGATACGTTAGATTTATCAAAAGTGACAGTAAAGACATTTATAATGAAAATTATAACAATTAAAGCAAAATTACAAAACAATCAAAATCATGTTTTCACAACAATATGAAGCAGCACAACTGTTTTAAGCACTAATAATAATCATAAATGTTTCTTAATCAGCAAATCAGCGTATTAGAATGATTTCTGAAGGATCATTTGACACTGAAGACTGGAGTAATGATGTTGAAAATTCAGCATTGCATCACGGGAATAAATTACATTTTAAAACATATTTAAATGGAAAACAGTTATTTTAATTTGTGATAATATTACTAATTTTACTATATTTTTGATCAAATAAATTAAGCGCTTGTAAGCATATAATAGACTAAATCTCTAAGTCTTACCGACCTTAAACTTTTTAACATACTGTTTAGATTCATAGTTATCACAATTCATACATTCTATGAGAAACAAAGCCATGACCTGAGTGTTACTAATGAATTCTTCTAATGATCTTAAGAGAAACATCGAAACACACTTAAGTGCAGCATAACATGAGAACTCAATTAAGTCTCATGAGCAATGCAAGAGCCATCTGGGTGCCTGTTCTCATGCTCACACACATAAACACACAAAGATGGCCATCTTAGCGCATTGTATTTGCACCTACCTGTACGATTGAAATGACTGAGCTGACTTACTCAGAAATGTAAAGGAAATCGTGAAATCTGTAGGTTTCAGAGCTGTTGACACAACTACAGGTATCAGTATGACTCAGCCAGTATGCTGCAGATGTGGTCGAGAGCAGACTTCAAACGGACTAGAAAATGCTCTCTCCACAGCAACACAGACGAGGTAAACAGTCTCAGCTGGGGTTATTGATGCCTAATTGACTTCAGTACATCTGCAATTCCATTTGCTTGGCTAAGCATTCATAAGCAGTTTGAAGGCATTAGTGAAGTTCACCAACGTTGAGGGATGTTCGACTGTATAAGTGGCACATCTGTTGCATACAGAAATATAAACGAATATGAAATTAGGTGGATGATGAGATTATCCTAATCCTTGTTTGCAAGTGACTAATGCAGGCATCTCGGACTAAGGCTGTAGCCAATGACATTGAATAGCTTTTTTAACATGAGATTATGTAATTTAGCTTATATCAATATTTATCATTACTTACCTGCCACAGAAATAATAAGGATCTTAATCGCATTTTTTAAATGCAGTGTATAAAATGACGAATCCGTTCAGTTGATTAGCATACTCTCGGGAAGCGCAGGACCCCTGGAAGTAAGCATTTTAAAATCTGCTATCATTGCTCATGGGAATAGAGAAATGCAAAGAGAAATGTGTGCATGCATAGAGATTCGCAAGATGACGTCAATGCAATGCTGATTGACTGAGGGCAGCACAACCACACATACAGGACCCAATTCTTCACTAGTGACTAACTGAGATATGATGTCAAAGACAGGAGAAACAAATGAACAGGGAAAAATAAAAGTCAATCTCATGCTTTTAAGAGCCTGCAAAAAATAAATAAAAAATAATATTTTAAAAATTGCTCCTTGCTGAAACATCTAATATTATATAATGAAAGATGGTGATGTATATGTACATGGCAAACATTGACTGAAATTATATATATATATATATATATATATTAGTACTGTCAAACAATTAATCACGATTAATCGCATCCAAAATAAACGTTTTTTTTTTACATAATTTATGTGTTTGTACTGTGTATATTTTTGTATATATAAATACACATACATGCATATATAGAAAAATATGTTCTGTTTATATATTAAATATATTTATATATAATATAAATTATATAAATATATACATGTAAATATATGCAAATATTTTTAATATATATATTGTATGTGTGTGTATTTGTATATACATAATCAATATACACAGTACACACACATATATTATGTAAACAAAAACTTTTATTTTGAATTAATAAAAATAGCAAAAAATGTATACAATTATACTAATAATATAAATGAAATATTTAATTGATATGATTAAATATGAATTTTAATAAAATTAATAAAAAGAATTTAATAAATACTATTTTATTTACATGACTGAATCAAAAAGAAATAGTGCTGAACAGTTTTTAAATACCACAAAAAAGAGAAGACATAAAATGATATATGGGTATGTTATGTTATATGTTATGTTATGTTTTTTATTTTATTTTATTTTATTTTATTTTGATCAGTGAAATTACCCATACACTAAAATGAGGAGCTTGGCAGTAAATCTCGGCAATAAAACTGTGCCAAAAAATGCATTGTAAAACAGCAAAGAAACACTTGGTATAATAAAACAAGTTGTGGCAAAAAGTACTTTGTTCATTGACAAACATTTTTTTTTCATGTCATGATAATGAACAATATAGTTGTTAGATTGAATTATCGAAAAATAAAGTAAAATATAGTTCACAGCTTTAGGTTTGTCCTGTTAAGAGCAACTGTGCAACAAAAAAAATGCACATTTCAGGAAGTTCCCCTTCACGAGGAAATACCAGCGCCGTAAAACAAAGCCTGACGTTACGAAATCTCACCCCAATCGGTTTCTGTTTACAACCCTAAAATATGAACATAGAGATGAAACAATGGAGCCTCCAGCTCGTAAATGTCCAGCAATTTGTGGTTATGTAAGACGAGCAGACTGAAAGCGCCAGCCCGGAGGCCAGTGTTTGCATTTCCTGTAATCTGAGTATCCGTTCACTCAAGCATGATGTAAATGGATGCCAGTCTTTACTGTGGCCAGCCTTGGCAGCGTCAGCAGCCGCTATACGCCCTGCAGAGCCTGCATGTTCCACCAGGTGAACACGCTTGTATTTTATTGCATTCTTCTGGTGCTACGCATTATGAGAACAACTGCACAACACAGGGACTTGCTTGCATAGGACGCTCTGAGAATAATGGAGGTAGCGAGGTAAAGCAGGGCTGCTCACTGCTGTGTGGAAGATTGTCTTTCATTGCATCATACTGTTTGGAGGACAGAGCTACAATGTCATCAAGATATGGCTGCAAGCCAAGAAACAAAGCTCCCCTAAATATCTATCTAGGTTGCCTGATGTGCCGGCACTCCTACCTGTTTATAAGGACGCCATTGTTTTACCATAATTAGGTTGTGCATCAAATCGTCTCTAAAGACTGGAGGAAGTTAATAAAATCTACCGACTTTGGCAAACAGTGATGTTATGATCTGTACACAAAAGAGAAGCTTTAAAACACAAGCTGTAAAAAAAAATAAAATAAATAGAGTCAATATTAATTTCATGCTGTCTTGACCTTGTAAAACCAGGACGGTAATTGTATCGATAAATGCACCAAAAACACTGACAATTGCTGTTAATATTCTCTGCATTTTGAGAGGGTTTTGAGACTCAGAAGTCCAGATATAATGCTTTAAATACAAGTTCATGCACTATTTAGAACTGAATGGAGAATGCATTTTAAATTTCCAGTTCAATTCTGGAATTTGAGTTTGCATTTGAATTCACATAGCAAATGCAGAACTAAAATTTCAATTTTACAGTAAAATTGATTCAAATAATTTCTATAACTGTACATTTTAACTAGTAAAACATCTCAACAAACTTTTTATGTTGGCTTGAACTGTGCATGATTGCTTGTTTTAAAAAGCTTTAATTTTGAATTTTTATAGACAGAGAACAATAATAATAGAACAAGATATATATATATATATATATAATTGTATTTCTTTTTTGTGGACCAAGGCTATATATTTTACTACTATAAATACTACTTTTTTACTTTTTGGTATACACTATACTTAGTATAAATATATAATATTTATATATATTTTTGTCGACTGTGGTGGAAAAACGTAATTTCCCAGAATGCATGACCTGTGTTGAATTTCTTTGAATTGCAATAAATT